TATAGCTAATGTTTGTTTTGAATTTCGCCCAAAGCTATTAGTTCTTCATTTTGAAGCAGCTGGTAAACGTCAATCACCGCCAACTCTTGAACTTCTATGAACGATTGACTTTCAAAGGGTAAATAATAGGATTGCGAGTCAAGTGCTCTAACAACTAGACCATACCAAACTCGCAGGTAATAAATAATGGCAAAGTACTATTAAAACATTAGAAGTAACACTACTGTTACGATGTTGTCTGAATTACAATGAGTTAACATACCTCGAGCATAGAATTGCGTGTATTTTATTTTGATATATATATATATATATGATTTCACGATAAGTATGTAAAAAATGTAATCCTACAAAACGTATGCGTAATGAATACGTGAAGAAAAATGTGAAATTAATACCCTTACTTGTTTCGCATTAGGTTTGTTTACAGTTGGCAAGAATACTACATATTTCGATAACTACTGTCCATAACCTAACATTTATGTATTTATATTTTAGATTGACATTTAAAAATGGCAAATTCGTGATTTATATATATGTATACATACATATGCATGTTGTCAGCTATATTTTCACTATTTTACTTTAAGATGTAGTTAAGAGGTTGCATGACACTAAGATCTAGATGACTTCACGAAAATCTAGTCACTTCGAAGGCTGTTTAGAAGTGAGATATCAGTTATAAATACGAATAAGTATAGTGAAGCTGTAGGAAATGTTAAAATGGAGTATTCAGCGCATAATTCCCGTGTAGTTGTTGATCAAATGTTATTCAGTCTTTCAGTTGGTAGAGTCGATCGATTTGATTAGAATGAAATTGTACATGTAAGTTTACACGTTAGTCATAGTACCATTATCGAGGGGGGGGGGTAGGTTCACGGTATTTAGTTTAGGTCGATTTGATTAGGCGTGAACTTGTACAAGTTTACTTGTATTTAGTCGTAGTACCATTATCGAGGGGGGGGGGTATTCACAGTATATTTTTAGGTCGATTTGATTAGACGTGAACTTGTACAAGTTTACTTGTATTTAGTCGTAGTACCATTATCGAGGGGGGGGGGTATTCACAGTATATTTTTAGGTATAGAAAACCATAAAGATTTTGATTTTTGTTACAAGTTTCTTTAACACGTTTATTGACATTTTTTTAATCAGCGAGGAAAACATACAGCATTAATATGATTGTGTCGTCATTTTATCGTACAGAATACGCTCAATCACGTTTACTTAAGGTGAAAATGTAAAGTCTGATAAGTAACAAGATAGCACAATCAAATTAAACATTTATATTAATCATGTTACGTACCTTAGATATTGTTAAATAGTCAAAAGCCCCACCCCTGCAGCTGTGCGGTAAACCCGAGGGCTTACGACGCTACAATATGGAGTTCGCGCAGATAATTGATTGTATAGCTTTGTGTTTATATACAAACGAAACAGCCAAAAGTGATGCGGGCATGACAGGTAAGGCTTTGTGGGATAATACTATATTTCTAAATTTTAAAATGAGAAAAAAAGTACAAAATTGTCTGGTTGGACCAATGATTCACAATTTTCTTTATCATTTTTATATACTTCGCTATCCATGAAAGCTTCCGGTTAGTACATCAGCACCAGTTGTACTTATCATCTTTATATACTTCGCTATCCATGAAAGCTTCCGGTTAGTACATCAGCACCAGTTGTACTTATCATCTTTATATACTTCGCTATCCATGAAAGCTTCCGGTTAGTACATCAGCACCAGTTGTACTTGTCATCTTTATATACTTCGCTATCCATGAAAGCTTCCGGTTAATACATCAGCACAAGTTGTACTTAGGAGGGAAAGCTTCCGGTTAGTACATCAGCACCAGTTGTACTTAGGAAGGAAAACGATATAGTATGATTCGGAATGAAATATTCACAGATAGCTTATATAGAATTCGCGCCAATTCAATTCCTTAAAACCAGATGAACCTAGCGAGTTTTATAACACCGTGGATACCTAGCTCATGATTCAGTGTATTCTAAAATCTAAACCATTATAGGTTTCAGTTTTGTCGTGGGCAGATTGATGACGTCACTTACTTTTATACAATTAATAAGTCACATTGTAGTTATGATTTTTTTCAGACTGCTTAATTGGATCAGAAGTTAGTTAACTTTTAATCAAGATCTGTAACACAAGTTCACGATATTAGGAAAACACATACAATCAGACACAATTACGAAACCTTACATAAGTATTAGGCATAAAGCTCGTTTACCTCTGATCAAGCAGATCTGACAAAAATGGGTTGTCGTAGTATGTTTTGAGTGAGACTGAGAGACTTTAAATTCTTTGACTGGAATTCTCGGAACCAAGTAGAAACACGGGGCAGTGGATGATAGAAGCTTTTATAAATCTATGTTGTCTTTTTGAAAACTGAGAATAAATCGAAATGAAAAACGAGTTGGTACCGAAAGCGTTGTTTTAGAAATTTTACAATTCTGTACATTGTAACCATGTGTATGATAATTAAACATAATAATAATAACCTGTTGAAAGGAGAGGAAAATCCACTTTTTACTTAATTGATAAAACTTTGAGGACAGCTATTGAGTGGATTATTTTATTTTTATGATATAAATTTACCTGATGATGACCACGCAAGTGGTTGAAACGTTGTAATAAATTTTCTGAAAATAAAACAATCTACTCAACAGCTGTCCTCAAAATCTTTTAATAACAACCTGTAACAAGAGCGGATTGCCCACCAGGACACTGAGCAATTGTCCGGTGGGCTGATGCATTTGATGCGTTCTTATAAAATAATTGAAATTTTAATTGTTTAGCCAGTATGCAGCATGTGATATTGCCCGGGCTGGTCCTTTGATACCAATCGCCCCTGAATTGTAAAAATACTGATGCATAGTCACCAGTTTTGTTTTGGTTGATTTGCGAGAAATTGAGTTGAGCAGTACCAAAGTACTCTGTTATTTTGAAAATTCCCTAATTTGCTTTTCGATTCTCTCAGACTTAGTATTTTTTATTTGGTTTATTATGATTTAACATAAGTGATAAAATCATTTCGCCCGAGGCAAGTTTTATCGTTAGTTCTATTGTAACCCCCCAGTGGCACAGCGGTATGTCTTCGGACTTACGACGCTAGAAACCGGGTTTCGATACCCGTGGTGGGCAGAGCACAGATAGCCCGTTGTTTCTGAAAATTCCGAACTGCGGATAGATATATATATCCCTTTAGTTTACAAACCATCTGTCAAATACACAGTAATAAACATTTAAATTGATGCAGTGATATTAAAACTGTGTTCTTTGTACACATTTTTGCACAAGTGTCTGTTTTATTCGTTAGTTCAAAAATGTTTTTAATTGAGTTTTACAATTTAATTGAGTTTGTTAACAGTCAGTCTGTAGACATTAGACACATTATAATATTTATAATTGTAGATTCTTTATACTGTGATTAAGTTACATTAGTTTGATTAAACGTAGACGATTTTATCATTTTGTATAAAAAAATCTTTGTCTTTTTCGTTGAAAAATTTAATTAAGCCCCTTATTTGAAAGTTCGTAAATGTATGGGCCTAATATGATGCATTTTCCTTCTTATTTTAGACAGCATAACATTTCCTTCATTGGTTTTATCGCTTTCAACATACTGATTTCCAGATGGGTGAATTTTGTTACGTACGTGATCGTTTATAAAGGTCGTAATTTAATGTATGGTGGAGTTTGTGGGCCCATGTTCGGTTAATTTGGCACTGATAATGGATATTCTGTATTTGACTAAAAATGGACCTATGGGTCAATTTTAAAACAGTTTATCCAAAAATAAAACATTTTTTTTGTAAAATTTATGAAGGGCAACTAGGTTTTTTAAAGAAAGACAAGTAGATTTTTCGATCGTTTTGTCCCTTGGACAAGAAGTTTTGTTTTTAAATTCCACGTCTCTCTTTAATCAGTATAAGATATATATATTCACCTTAGAAAATATTCCCACAGTTTGCGGAAGCATTATTAATTATCGCAGTTCCTCCTGGGTTAGTACCTCGGTGGGACGGCGGTAAGTTTACGAATTAAAATCCGGTTTTCAATTTCCTGCGGTGGACACAACAGATAGCCCAATGCGGCATTGCGTTTATATGGAAAAAATATATATATACGTAACCAAGACCTCTGGTTGCGTGTTTAATTTATTTTGATTTCTCCGCCATATCCTCGTGATTTATCGTTTGTAGATGGTTTTCATAATATGTTTACACGAGGTCGCGTGTTTAGTATATTTTAATTTTACCTCTCTCTCATCTTGTTTATATTTGTGTTTAAAAACAACAAACATTCAAAACCATGTATATATATCACTGGAAATAAACGTGGAAACAAAAAAGTGTCCTGAGATCATGTAGTTATGTAAAATAATTTCATTATTTTAAACTCGGACAGTACACGTTTATGTGTGAATAATGTAGACATATAGAAATGGATCGATAATTAGATATGCAGAAAGAGATAATATAAAATTATAACTTCCGAGCAGAGTAATCTCTGCACTAAGATCGAAACTACAAATCAACCTGACCATTAGTAATTTGTTTAAACGTCTAGACAATGAACACAGATCTTATAAAGTACCATATTTAGTTAAAC